TCTGTGAGTGAGGGGCTGAGCCAGGCTTAGGGGTTTCGGCCCTTCAGAAGGGTAGTTCTGAGGATATTGGGGTCCCCCTTGGTGACCAGGGTCCGCTACTGGCTCCCTACACCCCACTGGCCAGGGGATTTTGGAATGAGTTTGGGTGCTGGGGAGGAGAGGATGTGGTTGATGCCATCGGGCCTGGCACCTTCCTGGAGCGGGAGTCACTCTGGTGGCTTTGGGGGTGTGTGAATGAGTCCGGAGTGGGGGTCACTCTGGTGGCTTTGGGGGTGTGTGAATGAGTCCGGAGTGGGGGTCACTCTGGTGGCTTTGGGGGTGTGTGAATGGGTCCGGAGTGGGGGTCACTCTGGTGGCTTTGGGGATGTGTGAATGGGTCCGGAGTGGGGGTCACTCTGGTGGCTTTGGGGATGTGTGAATGGGTCCGGAGTGGGGGTCACTCTGGTGGCTTTGGGGATGTGTGAATGGGTCCGGAGTGGGGGTCACTCTGGTGGCTTTGGGGATGTGTGTGAATGAGTCTGGAGTGGGGGCACTCTGGTGGCTTTGGGGACATATGAATGTGTCCGTTTGTCTCTCATTTCCTTAGCGGAGGGGCATTTCCCTCCCCTGGATCTCAGACACAAATGAGTCCTGCCCAGGGGACCCCTCTGCAATACAATTTCTGGATTCTCCAGCCCCCTCATCAGACCCGGAAAGCCCCGTAAGTGAGAGGAGGTCTGGGTGGGCACCCGGAGTCCTGGGGCCTGCTGTCACGCGGGACTCAGGCCCCGCAGGCTCGTCATCTGATGATTCCAGGGTGGCCAGAATCCGGGTTTCTGTGTCAATCTCTGTTGTAAAATGTTGGCTACATGCAGTTTGGTTTTTGGGGTTTTTTTTCCCTCCAACACTGCAGACCACACAGAACACACTTAGGGGCTGGACTCCGCTCTTCGTTCCCTGATTGTCCCCTCCTCTGAGGGTTTGTGACAGCTCTGTCCCCTCCTGGCCTCTGCCTGAGCCGCCCCCCCCCCCCCACTCCTGGCGCTGGGCTCCTGGGCGGAGACGATTTTACACATCTGTGGCGGGGGCCAGCGAGAGGTTACAGCTAATTCCTCAGCGCTGACTAGAGGTGCCTTTTTTGAAAGATAGCTTTAAAATTCCTCAGCCATCCCCACCTCCGGAATTTCTGGCTGGTCACTTCTCCCAGATGCCTGCGGCATTCCAGCCCCCGCCAGCCCCGCTTCCCTCCTCCCGCCTCCCACCTCCGGCGCCCATTTCTCTCTGATTTCTGACCCCAGGCAGTCAGGCCTCCCTCCCTCTCTGGAGCCGGCCCGTCCTGCCAGCCATGCCCTGCCCTTGGCCAGCAAGCTCTTCCCACAAGGCTCGGCTGAGCCCACAAAGCCAGCCCCCTCCCGAGAGCCCGCCTCCAGCATGGGAAACATTTCATCCCGTCCGGATCCCATCGGGCTCTGCTTTGCTGTGTTGGAGCTGGTTTTTTTTTTTTTTTTTTAAAGAGTCTCACTCTGTTTCCCAGGCTGGAGTGCGGTGGTGCGATCTCAGCTCACTGCAACCTCCGCCTCCCGGGTTCAAGCGATTCTGCTGCCTCCACCTCCCGAGTAGCTGGGGCTACCGGCAGGTACCACCACACCCGGCTAATTTTTTTGTATTTTTCGTAGAGACTGGGTTTCACAGTGTTAGCCAGGATGGTCTTGATCTCCTGACCTCAAGATCTGCCTGCCTCAGCCTCCCAAAGTGCTGGGATTCCAGGTGTGAGCCACCGCACCCGGCCTAGCCTGGGCACTTTTGTGAGTCATTTTTACCTATGTGGTCCAGTGTAATCCCTTTACCCATGAGATAAATGTTCATCCATCCATTAAATCAAGTGTCTGTGAAGCACCCGTTCTGCGCTAGGCACAGGACTGTAGCAGCCAACGAGGTAGGTTATGCTATGCTCCTGGTTAGCATAGCATAGGATGGGAAGAAAGTCATCTGGTGGCAAGAGGACAATCCCTGAGCCTAACTGAGAGTGAGGGCGGTCAGGGACAGGGACTGCTGACTTCTCTAACTTCTGTGAAGGACGTTCTGGGAGTGGGGAGGGACCTGCAGCCGGAGGGCAAGCAGGTCTCAGAGGCCCCTCCGAGGAGTCGCGGGCCTGGGCTGATCCTCGGTTTTCATTCTTTTCAGAGACAATTCAGTACCTGCTTTAATTATTTTATATGTTTCCTTTTATACCGATAAGGTGGGGAATCCTCGTCTGGCTATGAAGTTTGGTTTGAGATCTAAGGTACAGTGTTCCCATGAGTTTGAGAGCACGAGCTGGGTGCAGTAGCTCATGTCTGTAATCCCAACACTGTGAGTGGCCAAAGTGGGAGGACTGCTTGAGTCCAGTAGTTTGAGACCAGCCTGGGCAACATAGCAAGACCCTATCTCTATTTAAAAAATTAACCGCCGGGCGCGGTGGCTCAAGCCTGTAATCCCAGCACTTTGGGAGGCTGAGGCAGGTGGATCATGAGGTTGACAGATCGAGACCATCCTGGTCAACATGGTGAAACCCCGTCTCTACTAAAAATACAAAAAATTAGCTGGGCATGGTGGCGCGTGCCTGTAGTCCCAGCTACTCGGGAGGCTGAGGCAGGAGAATTGCTTGAAGCCAGGAGGCGGCGGTTGCGGTGAGCCGAGATCACACCATTGCACTCCAGCCTGGGTAACAAGAGCAAAACTGCGTCTCAAAAAAAAAAAAAAAAAAAACAGGGGGCCGGGCGCGGTGGTTCACACCTGTAATCCCAGCACTTTGGGAGGCTGATGTGGGAGGATCACCTGAGGTCAGGAGTTCGAGACCAGCTTGGCCAACATGCTGAAACCCCATCTCTACTAAAAATACAAAAATAAAAATAAAAATAAATAGCCTGGCATGGTGGCGGGTGCCTGTCATCTCAGCTACTCGGGAGGTTGAGGCAGGAGAATCGCTTGAACCTGGGAGATGGAAATTTGCAGTGAGCCAAGATCGCGCCATTGCACTCCAGCCTGGGCAACAAGAGCAAAACTTCATCATAAAAAAAAAAGAAGAAAAAGAAAAGCAGCCAGGCATAGTGGCACCAACCTGGTAGTCCCAGCTGCTCGGGAGGCTAAGGTGGGAAGGTTGCCTGAACCCAGGAGGTCGAGGCTGCAGTGACTGTGATGGTGTCACCACTGCATTCAATCTGGGCCACAGAGTGAGAATCTGTCTCAAAAAGAAAAAGAAAACATGTCCCGCACTTGACAGTGTATAAAGCAGCTGTTGCTGCCGGTGGCGTGAACCGACCCATCCGTCGTCTTTACTGATGAGCGAGTTTGTCTGTTTACGGCTCTGTCTCCCGAAGACGATGCTATTTGTGCCTGGAACACAGGAGGTGCTCAGGAGACACTGGTTGATTTGCACTAAACAAAGACTCTTCACAAGGCTCTATTACATTTTATTTTATTTATTTATTTTTGTTTTATTATTATTATTATTATTATTGAGACTGAATTTCCCTCTTGTTGCCCAGGCTGGAGTGCAGTGGGGCAATCCCTGTCACTACGACCTCTGCCTCCCAAGTTCAAGCGATTCTCCTGCCTCAGCCCCCCTGTAGCTGGGATTACAGGCACCTGCCACCCACCACGCCTGGCTAATTTTGTATTTTCAGTAGAGATGGGGTTTCTCCACATTGGTCAGGCTGGTCTTGAACTCTGGACCTAAGGTGATCCACCCACCTGGGCCTCTTACATTTTCTATGGGGCTCTCCCAGCTCCTGGAGCTATCACTGTTGCCCCCTATCTGATGGAAGGGTCTGGCAAGCCTTGTGGGAATCCCAGAAGCTGCGGACTGAGGAGGGCCCTGTGCAAAGGGCCGGACGCTCCGTGTGGTGAGGCTCAGGTCTGCCATTTGTTGATTGCACAATGTTGGGCAAGGTATTTCACCCTGTGAGTCTCAGTGTCCTCAGCTGGAAAATGGGGAGACGAACCTCTGCCTGACCGAAGTAGCTCGTGTGAGATCCGCCATCTACAAGTGCTCTACAAAGCAGGCGGGAGCACCAGCTGTGCCCTCCTTCACCGGGCTCGCTCTGCTCCCCCCGCAGGGACGCGGGAGACTGCTTGGTTTCCCCATCCAAGAGACCTGGGGTGGCGGACAAGTAGCAAACCCTTTCCTTCTTCAACCCGCCACTCCCGCAGATCCTCCGGGCAGCCAGGCAATGCCGAGGTCCTGCCCGAGGGGGTCTCGGCAGAGCCCGGGTGGCGTGGGTTCTTGAGCCGAGGTGCCTCTACCCAAAGTCCTCATGAGAACTGGGGGGCCGGGGGGTGCAGCCTGTGTTCAGGTGAGGGGTACCGGGGCACCTCTGTGGCACAGCCTTGGAGAGGGACGTGGAGGGAGAGACCACGGGGGTCGCTGGACATCGTGTGGGTGCGACCGCAGTGCTGGGCGGGGGGCGGCGCTTGGGCTCGGGCCGGGCGCCGTCTGCGTGTTGGTTTCCTGTGGACACGTGGGGCCCTCGGAAGGGGGAGGAGGGTGAGCGCGACCCCAGAGGGCGCGGCGTCGGGGCAGCCCAGGCCGCGGAGACGCCGGCCCCGCCCCTTGTGCACGCCCCCTCGCCGGAGGCCCCGCCCCTTACACGCGGCCTCGCCGGAGGCCCCGCCCCTTGTGTGCGCCCCCTCGCCGGAGGCCCCGCCCCCGTACACGCCCCTCGCCGGAGGCCCCGCCCCGCCCACCATGCCCCGCCCCCGCCCCGGTCCCGCCCCCGGTCTCCGTTTGCGCCGGGCCGGAGTGGCCGCGCGCGTGGCGTTCCGCGCCGAGCGGCCCCGTGCAATGATTAACCCGGCGGGGCGGCCGGCGCGGGACCGGGGGCGGAGGCGCGGGGCCGGGGCGGGACCCCGCGGGGCCGCTCGGCTTCCTGCTCTCGCCCGAGTTTCCGCGTAGAGGGCGCAGCGCCGGCCCGGGGCCCTCGGCGCTGCGTGGCGCAGGGCGCGGCGCGGGGCGCGCGGGTCACCATGAGGACTCTCCGCAGGTTGAAGTTCATGAGTTCGCCCAGCCTCAGTGACCTGGGCAAGAGAGAGCCGGCCGCCGCGGCGGACGAGCGGGGCACGCAGCAGCGCCGGGCCTGCGCCAACGCCACCTGGAACAGGTAAGGCCGCGCCCTCCCGGCCCGCCCGGGGTCCCGGAGCCGGGGGAGGGGGCCCGCGAGCCTGTCCGCGGACGGCGGGCCGCCCCGAGCCGGGAACGGCGCCCCACAGTTGGCGGAGAACTCGCTCCTCCGGAGCGCGGCGGGCCTGGAGCGAAGTTGGGTGCCGCGTGGTTCCAGAGCACGGGGCCGGGAGCGAGGCCCAGAAGCGCCGCGCGGTGGGCGGCGGGGTGGGCCTGGAACTCGCGTGCCCGCCTCCCACCCGGGCTCTTTCCACGTCCCCACTCCGGTGCTCGTGACAACCCGGGAGGTTAACGGAGCAGGAAGTATTTTTCCCGTTTCGCAGTTGAGCACGGGAGCCCCGGGCGCAGTGGGTGGGTCGCTCGGGCTTCCTGTGTCTCTTGGAGGTTCCTTACGCTTTCCCTGGATAGGCCTCCTGTCCTCCGGCCGTCAGCAGGGGTGCGGCGCCGCGCGGCGGGCCGTGGGGGACCCTCCTCCGGGGGTGACTCCCGGACAAGCAGGGGCCCGGGAAGCCCCCTCCCCCAGCGGTGTTTGAGGAGCGAGGCTGGGATCCGGGAAAGAGAAGGCTGATTTAGTGGAACTCCCCAGCGGCTGTGCTCTCTAGGAAAATGGGGGCCAGGGGAAAGTGAGGCAGGCTGTTTGGGGAGGCTGCGGACGCTGCCCCCTCACCCCCACACCTGGCAGTGACATCTTGCCAGATGCTCCCCCGGCTGTGGTCTCGGCCACCAGGAACCCGGCTGACACGTTTTTTTCAGTTCATTGAATGCATTGTGAGCGTCATGGTGGGTGCAGGGCTGCCGGCGAGACCCTCTGCAAACATCTTGTCTTCTGTCTCTGAGTCGCAGACTGCTCGAGAGCTGGCTCTTGCCTGCCTCTGTTTCCCTCTCCATCAGTGGATATTTGCCTTCCTCCCTATGGGGAGGGCTGGGGTGGGAACGGTGAGGGAAAGACTCCTGCTGGGAAATCTCACTGACCCAGCGACTGCACGGTGTCTTAAGAGTTGTGTTCCCCGCCTGGCACAGCGGCTCACACCTGTCATCCCAGCACTTTGGGAGGCCAAGGCGGGAGGATTACTCGATCCAGGGAGATCGAGGCTGCCACGAGCCTGCTGGTGCCACTGCACTCCAGCCTGGGAGACAGCAAGTCCCTGTCTCAAAAACAAAGAAGAGAGAGAGAGTCCTGTTCTGGGCCTCCAGTATTGCAGTAAAAGCCGTCTCTCTCTTTGTTCTCTGCTGTGATTTAGAGGAAAGAGCTAAACAGACTTATTCCAAATCCCAACTCTGCCCCTTCCCTACTCCGTGGTCTTAAGCAAGTCACTTCACGTCTGTGCTCCTCAATTTCCTTATCCATAAAACGGGTTGATAACAGTGCCCACCTCACGGGGCTGCTGTAGGGATGAAATCTGACCATGCAGAATCAAGCCCTCAGCACAGTCCTTAGCACACAGTAGGTCCTCTGTACCTCACAGCTCAAGCCCAGACTCACGCAGGAGACCCGTGTCAGGGTGTCCCTGTAGGGTTGGCATTTGGAGGGCCCTACAGGAGTCAGCCAGTTCCTGAGCACCCACCTACAGCCACTGGTGAGCTCCCTCCCACCCCCGAGCTGGTGCATTCTGCTTCAGGTCCCCAGATAGGTGGGGGCACTGGCTGGGTGCTGGCTCTGAGGGCTTACACACTGCCCTCACCCCACCTTTTGTGACCCTGGAGTGGGCTCTGAGTCTCTAGTGTCTTCTCAGAGCTCAGGGAGGCCTTGCAGGGAGAGTCTGCCTGAGTCCCTCCGTCCAGATTTCACTCAGCAGCCTGGCAGAGTGCAGAGAAATGCCAGCCCCTCCCTGTGGCACTTGCCAGGCTCTGGGTCTGGGTCTCCCAGCCCTTAGGCCCGTGTCAACTCCAAGTGCCCCGGCACAGCCATTTCTTGCACTCCTTTTTTTTGGGTGGGGGGGAGACGGAGTTTTGCTCTTGTTGCCCAGGCTGGAGTGCAATGGCCCGATCTCAGCTCACCACAATCTCCGTCTCCCCGGTTCAAGCGATTCTCCTGTCTCCGCCTCTGGAGTAGCTGAGATTACAGGTACCTGCCACCACACCCAGCAAATTTTTGTGTTTTTAGTAGAGATGGGATTTCGCCATGTTGGGCAGGCTGGTCTCGAACTCCTGACCTCAGTCAGTCTGCCCACCGTGGCCTCCCAAAGTGCTGGGATTGCAGGCGTGCACCCAGCCTCCTGCACTCCTCTTATGGGCCAGGTCCTGGGCCAGCCCCGTTCACCCTTAACTGACTTTGCCACTCTTACAGCCCAGCGGGGGAGGTATTCCCAGCATCCCCTACCGAGAGGTGCCGAAGGGCAGAGAGCACCCAGGAGACCTGCCCAGGTCACCCGTCACCTGCACAGGAAGCAGCAGAGCCTTGAGCCCTGGCTGTGCTCCCCAGCAGCTGTGGGAGATAGAGAGAAAAGAAGGCAAAAGCACCTTCCCCAGCCCAGGCCCTGCGTAGAAACCGTGAGGGCCAGGGCACCCCTGCTGGTACCTGGCTGGCTGCTTCTGCTCCTAGCAGGGCCCCACAGGACAACAGGTCTGTGCTGGGTTGGGTGCAGCTGCCCTTCTGTGGGGCCTGGCTTTCTAAGCTGTGGGCTCATTGTGAGTCCAGGATACACCCCATTCTATCTCTGTGACCGTGTTAGCTTCCCAGAGCTGCTGTAACAAAGGATCACAAACTTGGTGGCCTAAAACGGCAGAAACGTGTTCCCTCACAGTTCTGGAGCCAGACTCTGAAGTCCAGGGGTCACAGGGCTGCGTCCCATCAGAGGCTCTAGGGGAGGAGCCTTCCCGGATTCTCGAAGCTTCTGGTGGCTCCTTGGCTTGTGGCTGCGTGGCTCCAATCTGTGCCTCCCCTTCATTTGCATATTGAAGTCTGCCTCTCCTTTCTCTCTCTCTTTTTTTTTTTGAGATGGAGTCCTGCTGTGTCACCCGGGCTGGAGTGCAGTGACGCGATCTTGGCTCACTGCAACCTCTGCCTCCCAGGTTCAAGTGATTATCCTGTCTCAGCCTACGAGTAGCCGGGATTACAGGCACCTGCTACCACACCCGGCTATTTTTTGTATTTTTAGTAGAGATGGGGTTTCACCGTGTTAGCCAGGATGGTCTCGATCGCCTGACCTTGTGATCTGCCTGCCTCGGCCTCCTAAAATGCTGGGATTACAGGCATGAGCCCCCACACCTGTTTTTGTTTTTTGAGGTTTGTTTTTGTTTTGTTTGAGACAGAATCTTGCTTTGTCACCCAGGCTGGAGTGCAGTGGCATGATCTCGGCTCACTGTATCCTCCATCCCCACAGGTTCGAGCAGTTCTCCTGCCTCAGCCTCCCGAGTAGCTGGGATTACAGGCACCCACCACCATGCCTGGCTAATTTTTGTATTTTTTAGAGAGACTAGTTTAGTTTCACCTTGTTGGCCAGGCTGGTCTCGATCTCCTGACCTCAGGCAGTCTACCCACCTCGGCCTCCTGAAGTTCTGGGATTACAGGTGAGACCCACCACACCCAGCTCCCTCTCCTTTCTCTTGTAAAAACGCTGGGTATTGCATTTAGGGCCCACCCTAAGTCCAAGATGACTTCATCTCCAGATCTTTAATTAGACTCCAGAGAGTTGCTGGAATTACCCCTGCAAAGACCCTATTTCCAGGTCAGGTGTGAGGCTTGCTCTGTCATAGGAATTGAATCTAAGTCATTGATCCATTCATTCATTGACTGCTGGCACTGGGCTGTCCAGGGCATAAATTCAGCAGAGAATAGCCTCCTGGAGCTTAGAGTTCCCAGAGGGAGGCGCTGGTAAATAAACAGAGAGGCCAGTAGCCGGAGGTGGGCTTGGTGTGGGAAGATGGTGAGCCGGGCACTCGAGGGCTGAGCGCTTTGCCGGGGCCCACCTTCCACTCTTTCCTCCAGGGATGTTGATTCTGTAGGCAGGAAATGTTTGGTTTTTTTTTTTCTTTTGAGACAGGGTCTAGTTCTGACACCTGGGCTGGAGTACAGGGGCACAATCATGGCTCACAGCAGCCTCGACTTCCCAGGCTCCAGCGATCCTCCTACCTCAGCCTCCCAAGTAGCTGCAGGTGTGTGCCACCACTCCTGGCTAATTTTCCTTCTTTTTTTTGGTAGAGGTAGGGTTTTGCCATGTTTCTCAGGCTGATCTCGAACTCGTGAGCTCAGGCACTCCACCCACCTCAGCCTCCCAAAGTGCTGGGATTACATGCATGAGCCACTGCACTCAGCCCAGGAAGGGAACTGTGGATGCCAGGCTGGCCTCCCTAACAGAACCTGAACCGGGACCCCGGAGCTTGTTTCCTGAGTGCCCACTCCTCATCTCTCGGTGAGGTTTTGCCCCCAGCCCATGACAGGTCTGCCACCCAGTGCCAAGGCTGCAGAGACATGTCCCCATCGGGCTCTCCCAGGTGGGTAGGGTGACAGATAAAGACTCGAAGGCTGACCTGCCACTCCCCCTGCCCCCCATCCTAATCCCCTTCCTCCCTCTCTCCCTCCGTTCTCAAGGCCCCTTGTCCCTGTTCCCTGCCGGCTCCCAGGCAGCTCCGGGTCGCTCCTCACTGGGTCTGGCCCCTGCACCCCTGTGGGGCCTCGAAGGCCGCGCTCCTGGGCTGCGGGGCCAGGCAGGCTGTGCTTCACATCTTCCGCCTGGAGGAGGAGGCGGGACATGAGTGGCCTCGGGTGTGTGCCCTGCAGGCAGAGCTGAAGTAGCCCCGGGGGAGGGCCTGTGTGGAGAAGGGCCTGCGCCAGCCTCAGGAGCTGGAGCATGAGGGTGCCCAGCTTGGAGGCTCCGGCGGGGACAGGCGGCGCAGTGACCCCCCGGGCCCTAGCTGTTAACATGCCCTCCATGGGCACTGTGCTTGTGCCCTGGGCCTGGCCCCAGCCTCTGTCTCCTGGCACCCGAATTCAGGAGTTCAGGGGATGCACCTTGCCATTCCTTCCTGCCCCTCCCAGCC